TCTTCTTTAAAGGAGGGGCAGAGGAAATAAAAGAGGAACCATCTGAATTTAATTACCAGGATAAATATACCCTTGGTGACATAATCTTTGACCTGCAGCAGACAGGAAATCAAAACCAACGATTCATCCAGATGCTCGGATCAGCCTAATGTTTAGTAACAAGAAATGAAACAAAAGCAAAAGAAGATCATCCACCCTGGCTTGGCTCATGTCGCGTAAAGGGAGGTGTTAGAGCTACCGCCAGTCTGCCCTGCCTTCAGGAAGGAAACAAATAGGGGTCGTTGCAATTGCCACTATACAGAGAAAGCATCTTGAGCCTTAGTTCCAGTGTGCAGAGTTGTTGTAAAAGAGTTTCTGTACAAAAAATCCTCATTAATTCTTGGCATTCATGTCTGTGTGAAGAAATTTGCATCTGTTGAAGGGAAGCGATCTAAATCTAGGGCAGAATCCCATCTGTGCTAGAGGTATTTTCTCTGCACTGCAGCTCTCGATTGCATATTCTGTACCCGTTTCTCAGCCTAATCGTAAACTATGGGTGGAAATGGGTGGAAGCTCTGTGAGCCGGAGGGTGTGGGCTCTGAATATCACTGATGATATCACTGAATAACACACCACCGACTAGCAGTGTGTGGGATGGTGGGGAAGGCGGGAGGACGGCTGCGGAGAGAGCACAGAGCAAGGTGTGCAGCCTGGGGCTGGAGCTGTGTACCTGCCCTGGGGCAGAGTCCCCAGAGGTGAGGGTCATCTTGGGTTTTGGGAAGAGAACACAACAGCTACCTCTGACTTTGCCTATTTGGCTGGTCGTTACAATCCTCCAGGCTTCAGAATAGCAGTTTTCGTGGCTGCGGGCAGGTAGTGCCGTACGGGATGTCTGCAGCCCTTGTTGGGTTTCTGTGGGTCTTTTCCACCTCTTCAGAAGAGGCAGATACTGTCTTCACCTCAAACCTTCCTTTTGGTGCCTGCATTGCTCTACAGAGTGGGGGTTTGATTAGGTGGCCGGAAAGCCATGTGGGTAGTGAGAGGTGTAGAGGAGAGCATCTCTCAGCCCGGGAGGACTCTGTCCAGGTGGCTGGATCCCAGGCTTAGTTCCAGGGAGATCGGACCCAGTGTGCCTCAGGGTCCTGCTGCGTTGCAGAGTATCTTTGCTCCCCGATTCTGTTTCTTCTCACTCACCAAGTGGCTGGAAATGCCAAATTCTGGCTTTATGGTCATCTTCCATTAGTTTAAGGAGACTTGCTCCCATTTGTTACAGCTGACAAAGCTCTGTGAGATGTTTAAAGGCATTCTGAAATTTAAGGAGTTGATACACCAGGCACTGAGGAAGACTTTTTTCTTCTATCAGTGGTGTGATAAAGATCTAATTACTCTGCTCATTTACAATTTAAAGGAAAATAATGTATGCAGCCTTTGGTAGTTTAAAACTGAGATAAGTCATTGTAGGAACGATCTCTGTATGACTAGAAATGACTCTTAAATCTCTTTATTGCAGTGTTTTTCATATTTAGTGAAATGAATGTATGGAAATACGCTAGTGCGGTGTGGTTACACATTCTCCAGCCAACACCGGCAGCGCTTCCACACTTCCCAGTTCAGACTCAATGTAGGGCTCCCAGGTAAAGGTTGCACCCCTCTTCTTTTGTCTCAGGAAGGAGGTTTGTAAGATGAATGAGTCCCCGAGCGCAGGGTCTGTGTGTGGGCAGTCAGCCCATCCGCAGGGATGCAGGCAGGAGGGCAGGACAGCCCTGGCTGGAGCTCCCTGGCCGGCCCCATTCCCACCAGGAGCAGCCGGACAAAGTGTCCCAGAGCCCGGGTGTGAGGTGCAGTGCAGCACCCCATCCAAAGTGCTCGTGGTGGCTTGGGGACAGCCCCGCAGCGTGGGGAGCAGCCTAATCCTGTCCTGGTCCTCCGAGGCACAGCCTGCACAGACCCTCCTCAGGGTCTGCTCCCCAAAACCCAGCTCCCGTGCTTTAACCGCTCGCTCTGGCTCAGGCAAAACTAGGTCATGTTTCCTGCAAATCTGAAATCCGTCTGGAGTGCCCTGAGCTGATTTATGCATTCATATATATGGGAAGAAAAAGCAGTTTGACTGAATTCTGCTTTGAATTTTGGGGTTTCTTTCATCTCGGCGCTCCTGGAAAATGAAAGCAAAGGGAAGTAATTGCTGAAGCCCGAGAGTCGCTGGCTCTCCGTGGGCAGGGTGGTTTTGCACCACGCTCCGGAGCTTGCTGCACGTTCTGTTCTCGTCCGCGCTGGAGCTGCGGAGCGGGAAAGGCTCCCGCAGCCGCACAGGCAGACACGGCAAGGGTGCTGCTGAGCTGTGGTGGCTGCCCGGCACACGGTACGCCCAGAGCCTCGTACCAGCTAGCTCATTCGTTTTGTTTGTACATTTAAAGTGAGAAAATTTGCAAGGATGTTCTTTGTGTTGGAGAGTGAGCTAGTGAGTCAGAATAAAACAAGTCTGTTATTATTTGTTCATGTATTTATTATTAATCTTTACTATTACTATTATTATTACTGTCATCATCATTAATAATGTTATTTGCTGATTTTAAAACCTACACCTCTTTTTTAAACAAAGTGAGTAGCATGGATTAGACAAGTAGCTTGCACAGTAGCATTGGCAATAAACAGGGCAACCCCCAAATGCACTCAAAATATGCAGAGGAAGTCAAAGGAGAACAGTGAAGTGTGATAATACCAAAGCTGTATCTAATACCCTCCCTGACATTGCCCAGGAGCAGACAATGTGCAGGAGATGCTTAGAGCACTTGCGTAGTAGGAGCAAGGCAGATACCCAGTGATGGTTCTCCTGGTACATGCTCCTGCTTCCAGCAGTCTGCAGATGTAAGCACCCTGATCTAAGGATTACACCTCATGCTTAATAGTTCTTGATGGATTTTTTCCTCTGTGAATTGGTGTAAGTGCTTTTGGAGCCCGTGCCAGGCTAAGCAGTCGTGCTCTCCGGAGCACTGTGTGGAGGAGTGCCACGAAAATTACCAGGTTTGCTTTGATCCTGTCACCTGATAATTATATGTGATGCCACATAGTTCCCATGTTACGAGAAATAATGACAGATCGTTCCCGTTGACTCCCTCCATGACTCTCATATTTTCTTGGAGTGTTGGGATAGTTCCCAGGTGGAAAAGCCTGGGTCTGCGTGTCCCCTGGAAGCTACCCCGTTCTCCATCTCACCTTCTCGCCCTGCCTCGGCATGTGTTTGCAGTTGTGCTTTGAGTCATTGCTGGGTGCCAGCACTGATTTGTTTAACTCCTGGTTAGGGACTGGAGTGAGAGCTAAGGATGCTGTAATCCAGAAGCTTTCCCCACTGCAGTTGTTTTCCCGAATCAAAGAGAAGAAAGGCCTTCCCGTGTATGTTCTCCAGGCTGCAAAGGTGGCATTAACAAGTGTGAGGCCAGCTGCAGTTGTCTGAAGAAGCCTTGTTTTTACTGGAGGTTGTGTTTAGTCCACCAGTCAGGCTTCATCTATGAATTTCTCTTTCTTCCCCCAGTAGAGTTTCTCTTTGCATAACAAATGTCAGAATTTGCACATCACTGCACGTGCATCACATTATTTTTTTCTGTCGTCCTATCAGCAGATTTTTATACCTTCTTCCTCCATGTTCAGGCCCGAGTGTGATAGTTGGAAATGCAAAAGGATTACTGTGCCTACCTAGAGGTTTCGTTAGCCTCCAAACCGGCGAGCTGATGCCTTTCTGGTCTCTGCTTTCACCTGCGTAGATGTAAATGAGGAGCAAATCTCTGGATGCCGCAGCCCTGTTGAGAACCTGCTTGGACCTTCTCTCTGGGCTGTTTTTACACTGTAAATTGGGGGAGCAGGATAAATAATGTGTTTTTCCAATCCCAAACACCACCCTTCACCTTCGCTGTCAGCATCACCCGCCGTGCCGCTGGCTGGGGCTGCGCGGGGCAGCCTGCGCGGCTTTGCAGAGAACCTCCGTGTCCCTGGCACAGCTGGGGGGGCCCCGCAGACCCCCTGCAGTTTGGATGGGGCTTGTCCTGCGTGGTGTGCTGCTCCCGGGGCAGCACGGCAGCACCATGGGCACCATCGGCCAGTTGCAGCAGTTAGTGGATCACTGTCGAAAGAGTTTCTTGTAATTGTAATCTTCTCGTTGCTTATTCAATTTCACATATGTAAAAACATACATGTATTTCATATGGCGGCCTGTCTCCTTGTCTCCAATTTCCTGTGCTCAGGTCACGAAGCATGTTTTTTTCTTAAAGAAAATAAGCAGTATCTCAGGAAGAGCTGAAATATGGTTTTCATTTACTGTGCCATAGAAATGACAGATTTAGAGGTTTCCCTTTGTGTTTATTCCATGTACTTATTTAATTGAATTCAAGGTTGATTTACCAGTTAGGGGTTACAATTAAAATAATTAATGCCTTTTTTCTGAGGAAATTTCCTAAGGGCTGTATTTTTCTCAAATAATTTGGAGGGCTTTCAGAAGGCTCAGCTGCAGAATAGAAGAGAGGCACCATTCTTAAATGAAATGCAGCGGGAATTAATACATTTGCTGATGCCTACGAATGCTCAGTTCCATTAAAAGTCTGTGCCATTGCTCGTGCAGAGTAAAGTGCGTGGAAAAAAAATCCGGAATACCTCTGGTTGTGGGTGGGTCATTCTTTCCCCGTTGCATGCCACAAGAGATGGAGGTACCTGGCGTTGGATGAGTTCTGCTGTGGCTGGCGGCATCAGCTGCGCCGGGTGGAAGGGCTGAGACCGGCAGCTCGTGGTCTGCGCTGGCCCTGGGCTGGGCAGCGGTGGCCAGCAGGCAGTCGTGGAGCCGTGCATCTGGAGCTTCGTACGCTGCCAGTGTAAACAGCCTGTGACCTTTTTTCTGCTTTATTTGTATGTGTATTGTCCGATGGTCGTCGGTTCTGCAGAACTGAAAGATGTCGGCATTTTCATCCAGTGGAGGACCTTTATTCTTGCCGCCTAAAAATAGTCTTGTGATTGATGAGAGCTGTTTTTGTTTGCAGATATAACACCTTGCCAAGCCGAAGAACACTAAAAAATTCCAGATTAGTGAGTAAAAAAGATGATGTTCATGTCTGCATCATGTGTTTACGGGCCATAATGAATTACCAGGTATTTCCCTTTTTGTTCTTTTGGACTACATAACTATTTTGTTGTTGGGAGCAGGGAGGATAAGGTTAGGGGTGAATTGTTAAGGTAAAACTGATTCAAAGGTTTAAATTCTTACTCATTCTTAGGCAGTGTAGCTGGGAAGCAATATAACACAGTCCTTGTGTACCCATGCAGATTATTTAATACAGATGTGAAGACACACGTAGATAAGAGCATGTGCATATTGGGCCAGTTCCTGTTTGCAGTGATGGGCTCAGTTTGCACTAACTGATTAGACATGCAGCTACACAACTGAAGTTACAATTTGTCTCAGAATTTGGTACTAACGCTTAGGAAATAGGAGAATTTTTCACAAGTGCTATACACTGATGGAAAATCTAGGCTTTCACTCTTGTTACATGTTTGCCGCAAGGCAATTGCAATAACTGCAAGTCAAAGAATAAACTAGACCAAAGCTAATTTTATTTTTGTGAGTTTCTTTTCTCTTCGGTGGGATGCTGTGATCATATGGCATGCCCTGGTAGCTTCAGAGACTTGGGATTTTTCGCTAAAACAGTAACAGCGAAAAGTTACGTGCTTCAAAGAAAGGCCGTGGTGAAAGCCCTTATTACGAGTTTCTGATTGTACAAGGTATTTCTAACACAGCTGCGTATGTGAACTCTGTCCTTGGGGATACCAGCTCCCTGGGATTTACAGAGTTTCTTGCCTCTGATGGGAAGGATGCAAACAATGATCTTGTACTAATAGCCAAAGCAGTTCTTTTTTCATTTTTGGAGAGCAAAGCCAGCAGTACTCATGCAATAACTGCATGATGCAGTCGATCTATGGCAGCACGCATGCTGGAAAAGAAGTGATTTTGGCAGCTGAATTGCAAAGTCCTCTTTAGAGAGTAAATGATGCACTTGACTGTCAGAAATAAAAAGGGGAGGGAGGGGAACGGATGAGCAGCGGGGTTGGCAGTGGTGTAGGAGCAGCTCTTGGACCCCTTTCTGTTGGCTGACGTGGCCAAACCGAGTACTTTCGACACTGTTAGTGGCAGAGATGTTGATAGGCACGGTGGTAGATGGAAATGTGCTGGCTGACTTGGTAAACTCAACAACATTTTGTTTGGCTTACAGCATTGTGAAAGACTGCTGCCAGATCTGGTCAGAGATATGTAATTTGTTGGATTTTAAAAATAATAATTTCAGTCTCAAAACTGAAACGGTATTTTCCCCTTCTCTTTTCAGTATGGATTCAATATGGTCATGTCACATCCACATGCCGTTAATGAAATTGCACTAAGTTTGAACAACAAGAATCCCAGGTAGGTTGCACTTGCTTTTAGAGAGTTTAAGAAGTAGGTAAGTAAAGAGTACATGGAAAGGGATTTTCAGGGGTATGTTTATGCACAAACCCATAGCAAAAATTAGACTTCATTCTGAATCAGATTAAATCTGTATTATGGTGCAAATAGGTGAGCAATTGCCATCTAGTTCCATTGGTTTCAGGAGCTACTGACTCTTCAGTTGAAAATTTGCTGTTAAAGCACTCCAACTCTATTGCAGTGCAAAGAAGACCCTGCTGATAATGAGCAGCTTAGCATGGGATTTTCCTGAAGAATAGGAAAACCTTCTTAACTAGATTTTGCCTGAGGGGTCCTTAGATTTGAATTTCTTTGAGAGAGGGTTTCATTCTTGTTCTGTGTCGGGTTGCTGTTCAGCCACAGCAGTAACGTCGTAATTGCACGGTGGAACTGATGGCTGCGAGGCTGTGTCCCCTCCTCTCCCCGCGCACACTTGTGACCCTGGCGGCCACTTCCAGCAAAGCCTGGAGCTGTGAACCTCCTGCATGTCTAACGAAACCAAATCTGACGTACTGATGTTTGCAAGGAAAGGGAAAACTAGGGGATGAGACAAAACTAAACAGCACTATATATGTGCATATATATAGCCTTTGCTTAGGCTGTCCGCTTGCCTTACAGTGCACTGCTTGAAATCTTGTCCTGATGGAAGTAGGTACTTCCTTCCTTTCTTTTATTTAGCCCTTAGTCAGCAAGCCTGGGCACAGCATACATGGGAAGGATGTGGGAATTTTATTGTTTTTATCATTTTTGGTGTCTTGTGCCTGGAAATCAGGTGATCAAGAGAGAGCCTAAGTTTTCATTTTTGAAAGAAGTCGGTTATTTAGATTTCTGTGCATTAAAAAAAAAAGCTTTCAAATGTGGCTAAAATAATCTGAAGACAAAACTTAATGTTAGTGCTGTTCAAAACCTAATTTCTTTTTGGTTTAGCCCCATCATGACTTTTGAAGAAACCAGAGGTTTTAGTGCTTAGGGTTGTCTGAGATGTGCAAAAAGGGAAGCAGCAGCTCTGAGAGACGCTGCAGAGCTGATCCCATTCCCAGACCGTGCACACTGCGGAGCTAAGTGCCATAGGAGCGGGCAGGCCAGGTGGGGATGGATGTAGGGACTCCGTCTCCTCTGGTTGTGCCTAGACGGATGCCACAGACACAGCCGTAACTGTCCTCTCCCCGTCCCCACCCCAGATGTGTGGGCAGCCGTCGGGTGAGCGCTCCGGGCAGCATCGGAGACCTGGGCATCCCCCTGGGCTCTCCGCTCACAGAGATCGCTCTCCCTTCTCCCCGCACACACGGTTCATAGCCTGCCCTTGGAAGGGATGTTACTGAAGGTCTGTAGTAAGAACCCCTTGATCCGGTCTGAAAGAGCTTGGTTTTTCTTCTTGTAGAAAAAAAATTGATGAGTGAGAATTGAAAATTATACATTTAAAATCTCCTAGGAAAGTGAACATTTTATCTGGTTTCCAAAGATAACCTTGACACTTTGAAAGCCAAAAGGTATTTCTTTTTCTGTAACATCTGGTTTGAGTCATGGCTTTAGCATGAGACTAATTTCATATGTGTCTGCATGATTTTAATATCTGCTCAGAGCTCATCTGACCATAAAGTCCGGTTGGTGTTTTTGCCTTACGTGAACCCTATAAGAAAGTACTGGGGATTATTTATACTGGAGTTACACTGAGTCTATTGCATGCTTTTCTTTCAGTAATCTGTTGTCTTCTCTCATTAATATGCCTCTGTTAGTACTGCTGTCAATCAATTGCCCAGATTTCTGATTCAAGAGGGGAAAGACGTGCTAAGGCATCCTATATTTACTTCAGCGAACCACGTCTTTTTTTTTTTTTTTGTGGCTATGAATAATACAAATTATCATAGAAAATAATTCAGATTTGTATCAGGAAAAATACAGATTTGAATTATAAGCACATTCATTAAAAACTGGGCTCAGAGGAAATGGGCTGCCTTGTGGTGAAGACAGCTGACTAATGGCTGATGTACGGTGATCATGGCTTGTGAAACTGCCTCCTCTCCGGGTTTGTGCAGGTGAACTCTCCGAGAGTACAAGCTGTCGAAGGCTGACATGGTCTGCCTTTACCAGAGTTATGCAACTGCCTTTGGTTTGCTTGAATTTCCACAAGTATAATTTGTGATTTAAATTTTTGCATGTTTTGAGAAGCATTAAAATGGGGGAAAACTGCATGATCCTGGGAGAGTCAAAATGCCCTGGATCAGATGATGCTCAGCATTATGCATCTTGCAGGTTTACTAGTTTGAAGAGATTGAAAATTCACGGGATGCAAACTTTGTCTCCCAGTGTCTCCGCATCCCTTTTGCAAACAGGTAGAAGGAAGGTGGTTCATCGCATGGTGGTCACTGACTGTTGCGGTTTCTTTTCTTCGCAGGACAAAGGCCCTTGTCTTGGAACTTTTAGCGGCTGTTTGCCTCGTCAGAGGAGGGCATGAAATCATTTTATCTGCATTCGATAACTTTAAGGAGGTATGTTACTCTGCTTTATTAGAATTCGATGCGCTTGTTGATAGTTCTCTTACATGGCGTTGGCTAGAGTTTTCTCATTCAGCTAAATTTCCTAGATTTCCATGAACTGCAGATATTCCATAAGTCACTTTGACCTGCAAAGAATCAGACAGCGGTGTTGATGCCATCATTTTGTGCGCTTTTGCGTAAAAGAGCCGTAATCCCAACAAGATGAATCCAGACTGTGAATTGCTCCCTTTGCTTTTTGGTCAGCCAAGCTGTGTCCCTGAAGTGGGAAACTAATAGAGATCTTGAGAGCTTTACTCCAGTTCTTCTGTCTCTAAACACTTTTGTATGTTCTTAGATGAAACAACCAGGAATGGTGTATTGGATCTCCCATTTTCAGAGCCATTTATACAAGCCCTTGAAATGCAAAACTCCTAGTTTTACTATTAGTAGGAATTTTATTTGTGAAGAAATTACAAAATCAAGTTTCTGTGATGGAACACTGACTGCTGAAATTAATACAGGTGTCCCAGCAGGCTCAAGTGGAGCACAACAGTGTGTGCTCCTCATTCATAGGTGTATACATTTAAGCGTATCACATGTTTGCATACAGTAGTGGGATTTGAGAACATTGTATGAAGGTTCAGAAGCACTGGTGTGAGAATCAAGTCCTAGAAAGCTGCTGTTCTAGTTTATTTTGAATATTGGATATATGTGTGGATTTATTATCAAAGAAGAAATGAATCTCGACTTACCAGCTCAAAAATTGTTAGACTTGATGAGTCCCAACCGGACTGTGTATAAACACGTAGCATGTTTTTCCTTAATGCCGCTGTTGCTAGAAGTGGGTTAATGCAGATGATCAACAAGCCAAGTTGTTAATTTTTTTACTTTCTGTGTTTGGGGAGTTATTTCTGGTGGGGAGATACCAATCTCTGATTTACATCCACTGTAAGTATTTGCATGTCGAGAGCTGCACCGTAACTATATTTCTGAGGTGCTCGTCGTTATACAGAGCCAGAGCAAAAGGTTTGAAGTAATCTCCAGTGTGGGCTTGCTGTAGAAACCTCAGCTTTGCAAGACCAGACCTGTCCTAGGCGTGAGCTGTGTTGTGCATGTAGAGCTACCTGAGGACAGAGGTAATGGGAATGGCACGGCTGCTGGCGAGGCTTCCCCGGCTGTGAAGTGGAAGTCGAGTTGGAAGTATTGTGTGACCATGGAGAAAGCCTTGCTTCTGGGTTACACCAGCGGAAGGGATGGTCAGAATATGGAAATAAGGCATTCTGCTTCCCACTGGGGAAAGGTCTGCAGTCCTTTAATGCAGGCACAGAACTGGAAATTGTAGTTTGGTTCTTTCATTTATTCATCTGTAGCCTTGGGCAAGCTGCCGGTATCTTTGTCTTTATTTGCACCTTTGTGAAATGAAGGAATCACGGAAGCAAATGCAGATGAGGTTGTTATGAAGAACAATTGGGTAATATGAAAGAAGTGCTTTAAATAGGAAAAGCACTGTAAACATGCAAAGTACAATGTTATTATTCTAGGCTTAAATTCTTCTGGCTTATTACTACTCTATTGTAGAAGAAACATGACTCATTAGGGAGGACGGTGTGAGGGATTACAGATAAGTTGGGCAAATGATACAGCCGAAATACCACTGGTTGGGACGGTCTGTAAGGCTCATTAAACAGGCCCTTTGCATGTCACAGGGAAGGATGTGTGAAGTCCCATTTGCTCTCTTACCTTCCTGACATTTTTAGTCGAGGTTTTGCTCCTTCACTTTCTTGCAAGTGCTCTGTCATCTCTCTTTTCTCCTGCTGACATTCAAAAATTCCTGTGTAACACCTTCGGTTTGTCTGCCATTATTTATTTATTCCATTCCTGTTTGTGTTTGATCAAGACGTTTGCTATAGTGGAACTGTTGGATGTTGCAGGTGGACCGGGTGTGCAAGGAGGGGATTCTGCCTTTCTGAATTCTATGCTTGGCTGTTCTTCTCTTTATCCAGTTATGCTGCTTATTTCTTGCTCTATGCTGTTGTTTTCCAGTTTCCTCCTGGGCAAGTTTTCAGTAATGGTTTCAAGTCTTCATGTTTGTAACTCATTCAACTGGTATATTAAAAATCTCTGAGTTGCTGATGTGTGAAGTACCCAGGGTTAGATTTCTAGGAGTATACTTCCAATTTAAATTACTGTAAGCTCAATAATATTTGTGTGGCTTCTGTAACTATGCATTGCAGGGCTGCCACAGCTTCTCTGTGGTTCTTTCATCAGACACTGTGTGCATATTTAGGACAGATTAGACTCGTCGAACTAGATCTCTGCCACTCTATCTCCTTGCCATAAAATAACTTCAAAAGAAATCTGAACTCCCGCCTAACACTTACCCTGTAATAAAGTCAGTAGGGAAAACAGGATATTTCGGACCAAATTCTGCTCTCGTTTACATCAGGGTGAACATCAAATATTTCATTAGGCTTTGAGCTTTGCTCTGATGTAAATGAGAACAGAATTTGGTTCTCAGAGTCTGACTGAGCAGGAAAACCGCAGTTGATCTGAATCTTGTCAAGAATTCTTTTTGAAAGTGACTTTTGATTTGAAAATGAAATCTTTTTCTGGCTGGGGTCAGGGTATTCAAATGGAGAATGGTTTGTTTTGTTAAGCTGACTCTTGAAAATTGTTCTTGTCCAGTTACTTCACCTGAAATCATTGATTCTTGTGTGCAGGTTGTTTCGCTTTGCAGGGGACTCAGCTCTGTGCCTTACAGACATAGCCCAGTGCTCGCTTTTTAGTGCAGGGTTAAGGTCGCGTTGAACAGGTCACTTCTGAACACAGAAACACGAGGATATTTCAAAGCCACCAAGAAGTTTACAACAAACCAGGAGCTTGAGAAGGAGTTGAGTAAAGCAGAACTCAACAGGAAAAGAAAATCCAGAACCATTGTTACTGATGGGGAATGGAGCGGGAAGGAGTAGTTTGGGATGGATGGAAGGAAAGGCAGGTGTTTTATCCAAAGTTCATTAGAGTTGAGGAAACCAGGCTTCACGCAGTCGCACTGGTGCTAGGAAGCACGAGCCCCCTGTTTCAGTCTGGTGAGTGGCAGAGCTGTTGAGTACGTTGTTTTTTTTTTTAATCTTGCCAAAAGGCAGAAAGTGGTTACAATGAAATCCTCATCCGTATTGTACGGAATGAATCAGTAATTTTAAGGAAGATACCAGTATTAGTGTCTTATCCATCTTTGTATTTCTCCTCTGTGTTCCCTGTAATGTTGAAGGAGTTTGCGTGTTGAGTACAAGCAGGGGATGATTTAGGTCTGTCTGTCATAGTGCATGTGTCTGCTTTCTGCAGCCTGTTCTACGTTTTGCCAACTATTTGGCATTGACAGAATGGCAACTTCCAGCTCTCTGAGAGAGAAATGTCCCAAATGTTCACACACCTTCTGCGTTTGGTCGTTCTTTCCAGGCCAGTGCAGACGTTGGGTGAACTCCCAGGTGCTGCTTAGCCTCTACATCAAGAAAAGCCTCAGCAGCCCGGCTAAGTTTGTACTTGCAGGACGGTCAGATCCTGGTTATGAGGAGCTCCGCTAGCCAGGAAGGCCCGAAGATGTTTTGGTTTTCCTGCAGCCACTCTCCGTGTCGTCAGGCCTCGAACAGCTTCTGAAAGGTCTTGGAGCAGAAGAAGTGCGAGGAGGTGGTGGTGGTGCTGGATGCTGCCGCTCAGCAAGCAGCTCCGGCTGTGCTCCGGCCACCTGCACTCTGCAGCTGGAAAACTTCCTTCTTCTGAGTGATGCTTGACTGAATTCTGCTGTATTTATGGGAAATAGTTTGGAGTTACTGTGCCACAGGTAACCCACCAGAATAGCTAGGGCGTTTGGCTATTCCTTTATCTTTTTGATACTTTCTGGCCTGTTGCTGGTTCTGTTTGCAGCCACCTCTTATTCCCAGCACCTTGCACTGAAGGCAAATGCTGCTTGAATGGGGTATCGCAGCCTTGGCTGGGAGAGCTCTTCGGCACGGCCGCGACCCCTGCCTTTACCCTCTCGCCAGTGGGTTTTGTTAGCAGTGTTCCTGTCCCTTTGTGCTTGTTTCCATGGATTTGTGAGAATTGGCTATGCGGTTTTATCCGAGTTGCCTGGGATTTGTGTTGCGGGATGAGCAAATGCACTTCAGCAGAATGCCAGGGGAAGAAAAGGAGAGCAGAGTTAGCCGCAAGGCAGCTTTGGGGGAGCTCCGAGGGTCACAGACCAGATGCTAAGAGCTTGCGCCCCATTTAAATTGAAGCAAGGCTGAGTGCACTGTTGGAAAACAAGATATATTTTCCTAATGCTTATTCAGAGTAGTTAATTCATTTTAATAGTGCGATTGCATGTGTTGGTGTACAGAGAATTAAGCTGCTGTCTTTTACTGCCAACAATAAAACTTTGTTTTACTATTATTTCATTGCTTACTCCCCTTACTGTTTTCTGGAGATGCTGTTTCGAATTCGCAGAGGCACGTTGCGCTGGAGCTTAGGCGCGTCGGTGTCCTGGTGAGTCTGCCCGTGGCCATCGGAAATGGTGAGAGCCAGCACGGTGCACGCGTGTGGCTTCTCACACGCTTCTGCTCACTTCGCGTAGACACGGCGTGGAGATGGTGCTCCTTAAACCACAGCATAGTCACGCGATGGTAGCTCACTCAGGACCCAAAACGAGCGTCGTTCCAAAGCTGCCCTTGCTTTCTGTCGTTTTACTGACATCTTGCCATAATCAAAATGCTGTCATTCGCTGCTGCCTTGTCAAGGAAGGATGTTTTCCTGTTGGTGAGATTCTACAGGTTGAGAAGATCTTTTAATCATCACTGCTATTGACTGGATACTTCTAATATACTGGTATGCCAAGAGCGAATTGCGTAGGAAATGTTTTGCTGCAGTTGATACTGGTTGGAAGATGAAGAAGGTTTTACAGAGCTGAGAAAAAGAATATGAGGATAACCAAACCTGCTGTTCACCAGCGGCATGGTGTCTGCCTGTGCAGTCACACG